AAAAAAAATTGTATATGTTATTTGGAGTAGAAGCTCTTTTTGTGCTTCGTACAGTTGCCTGCCTCAGCTACGCTTCGGCCGTCAATCTATGTACTCACCACAAAAAGAGTCACTTCTACTCCTTATAACATAATCTACTATTTTTTTTCAAGCGGCCATGATATACAACGTTATATGCATGTATAGAGATAGTTGAAGTACGTCTTTTTCATTAGCGGCAGACAAAAAACTCAAAAAAGCCTAGGGATAGAAGTAAATCCATAGGTGACTCAATAGACGTCAAATAATAAAATTAATTTAGCATTTCATACAAAGCAATCAAGATGTATTAATTATATTAATTATAATCGCACGGAATATTTAGTGATTATTTATTAAATTTTAATTAAACGAAATAAAGAACAACTAGTGTATTAGTATAATATAATGATGATAGTCGCCAATGTTTTGACTTATTTAGGTGGTTTTAAGCATGGAATTGGTAGTTTCGGGCTAGTTGAAGTTAAAATTGGTAAATGCCAAAATGGCAACTGTCAAAATGACAGATACGCCCTTTTTGACTTGTTTAGGTGGTTTTAAGCATGGAATTGATAGTTTTGGGGTATTTGAAGTAAAAATTGGTGAATGCCAAAATGGCACCGGTCAAAATGACAGATATGCCTTTTTTGACTTATTTAGGTGGTTTTAAGCATGGAATTTGTAGTTTCGGACTAGTTGAAGTTAAAATTGGTGAATGCCAAAATGGCACCTGTCAAAATGACAGATACGCCCTTTATAACTTATTTAAGTGGTTTTAAGCATGTAATTGGTATGTCGGGGTAGTTGAAACTACAAATTACATGCTTAAAACCACCTAAATAAGTCATAAAGGGCGTATCTGTCATTTTGACAGGTGCCATTTTGGCATTCACTAATTTTAACTTCAACTAGCCCGAAACTACCAATTCCATGCTTGGAAACACCATGGGTTTTGCGTGGAAACACTGTGGATTTTGCGTGTTTTCACTGTGGGTGTGGAATCACCGTGGTTACACGCCTGTACAAATGGAACAAACGGTTTCCACCGTGATTCAAAGACCGCGAGGGTAGGGTAAGTAACAATAATTGTTACAATTATTATTTTAGTGTATACCTTGCGCAAGTAAATAATTTTGCAAAGCTCACTCGCGCGAGGTTTACTCGCGTGTGGAGTAGGTACTAGCCAGAGGCTTAATCTCGCGAGTCTTAGTCGCGCGAGGGTTAAGGCGGGAGTCTGCTTTATAAGGCCTAATAAAGGAGTTTTTTAAGAAAAAAATAGCAAGTCTAGCGAAGTTTTTCAGATTATTTTATGGCATCTTTAAAAATTAAAAAAAAAATAAATTAAGAGAAAAATATTCAAACGCAGTTAATTTTCGTACACATTTGTGCAACACCTCGCAATTGCAGCAACCAATCGGCGGGCAAGATGGATCTCCTAATTTTCGACTGAAACAAAAAAACCAAAAAGTTTTTCAATTTTTATATATTAATCTTCTATGTAGATAGACTAAGAAAAACTCGAATTTTTTTAAAATTAAACATTTTTTACAGGTTTGAAAAAAAATGTCTTTTGAAACAACGAAAAAATCATTTTAACTTGCTGAAAAAGTTGTTCAGAATTTTTTTTTCGTGAATCTTTTTAGTTCAAGTAGAAGACAATACAAAACCAAAGCTAACAAGCATTGGTTTGTTTTAATTGGTCGAGAAAACGCGCTTGAAAGTTTGCTATCGTAAAAATTAATTTAATTTTCTATTACTTACAGTAATGATACGCTAATCAGCTATTTCGGCGCCATAAAGTAAACCTTCAACTTCCTCAAAAAACTCATTTTGATGCAGTTGGTCGAGTCTACGGGCCGTGCGAGCTTCCTTGCTGGAATAAGACGTATACGTCGGTTTTCCCTCTTGATCCGTTGTGCGATTAAATATTCCGAATTAGCCTTTATAACTTTACATACATATTTTTAGATATATTAGGAATAGATTTTGGCAATAAAAAAAAACAATTTTTTTAGCCTTCTAAAGCAGACTCCCGCCTTAATCGCGTAAGTCTTAAACGCACGAGTCTTACCAACGCGAGGCTTATTTGTGCTATTATTACTCGCGCGAGTTTTAGTCGCGCGAGGCTAACCAGCGCCAGGATTACGCGCGCGAGACTTTGAAGCGCGAGGATAACTCACGCGAGTATTGGTCGCGCGAAACTTAGTCGGGAGAGGCTTACTTTCGCGAAGCTTATTTGCGGGATTTTTACTCGCGCGAGTTTTAAACGCGACAGTCTTAGTCGCGCGGGCTTATCAGCGAGAGGATTACGCTCTCGAGGATTACTCGGGCGAGTATTTGTCGCGGGGGCTTACCAGCGCGAAGATTATTCGCACGAGTCTTACTCGCTAGGACAATTTGGTGGAGCCTCGCCTGTACGCAAATAAGCTCTGCCCGAGTAAGGTTTCGTGCGAGAAAGACCTTATGCAAGTAAAATCTCGCGGATGTAATTTCTTACGCTTCAGTTGTTAATTTTTAATAACTACTTCTACTATTCTACTCCTTCGAGACATTTACCTCTTGTTTAATGACATAGGTAATATTATTTTTTTATTACTAAACGTAAAATTTATAAGCATTTTATTATTTAATTTGTTTTCATAATTTATAATAAAATATTTTATCCCATAGTGCGACACTTTCGGCCATTTAATAAATCCTTAAAATATAAATATGTGGAACTAACTGCTTTTATCAAGTTTTTAAAGGTTTTGTCCAAGTAAAGTTAGTTTTATTGTGTATTTTAATTAGAGTATTATAAAATATAGTTTTATTAAACTCTTACTTAAGTTAAAGGAGTTTTAATCCTACCTTCAACAAAAGTTATCTCAAAGAACACTTTAAGATTAAAAATAAAAGCAATTTTAAAACAAAAGGTATTTCGAACTAATAAAACCACATTGCTTTTAAGAGAATTTTAAGATAATATACTCTTAGTGAGGTTTGATTAAAGTACAAATAAAGTCATTTTCAAGAGCAAATGATCTTAAATGCTAGATAGTTTTAAGAAGATGCATTCAGGATAGCTATAAAACTCCCTTTTAAAACCATATCCTCTCGAAGTGTAATTAGTATTTATAAAAGCCATTTTAAAATAATTTACACTTTTTCCGCTATAATAAAACTGCCTTAAAACTGAGTCAAGTCAATTTGGATTTTAAAATGTTACTTGGGAACCTATAGGTTTTATAACAAGTAAATAGCTATAAGGCTATATTTAATTTAAAACAGACTTTAAAACAAAAAATGTTTTCAATTCCCGAAATTTGAGTTATGTTGCTTGCGATACTTTGGCAGAAAGTCATCGATATATATGTTATGGCTAATGTGCAAACTTGGATAGTTTATAAACTAGCTGGATAGTTTGTAAACTAGCCAAACTGTCAGCAATTTTAATTAAAAACATATTTTCAACTAAATTAGCGACTAGTTTACAAAATAACCAAGGATCTTGGCTAATTTACTTATAAATATTAGGGAAACTAAAATAGCTGGATAGTTTGTATACTATCCAATTCAGTTTGGCTAATATGAAAACCAAAATTTCTAGTAACACAAAATAGCCAAGCTTTAGCTAGTTTGTAAATTAGCCAAGATCCTTGGTTATTTTGTAAACTAGCCGCTAATTTAGTTGAAAATACATTTTTAATTAAAATAGCTGACAGTTTGGCTAGTTTATAAACTATAGTTTATAAACTATCCAAGTTTGCACATTAGCCGTAACATATACATTATATTTTTTAAATTTGATGCAAAATCCTGCTTTAATTTGCTATTAATATAAACAGTACCTACTTTTAATGTAACTTACAGTGGAATATTATTAAATAGTAATTTGGCGCATATTTTAGGTACGCCGTTTTACTTTTTATTAAATTAATTTGCTAGTTACATTAAATAGTAAAACGGTGCGCCATAGATACCTGAGCCACCTTATTTACTCAGTTCACAAGCATCAAAACTCTATAACATATCATTCCCAACGACGAGCAAATCATATACCGAAATTGCCACCAGCTCCCTAACTAAGATATTTTACGTTTAATATCCAAATTAATATAATCTTGGTACCCAGGCCCCGTCATAGGAAGGTGTTTTTTCCCAGTCACATAAGGAATAATTGATTTTTTTATTAGTATTTGCCATGTATTTTGATTTTTGTTTTAAATTTAGTCTGCCTGAAGTTTTAACACATTTGACATTGTTTTCATGTTGCATATTTAAATTTTTAGGGCAGTGACGTGACCTCGGACGTGCAACATAATAATACAAAAAAATGTTTTAACCCCAGGCTATCAGAACAAAAATATTTTACAAATCCCTAAGTAAGTATCTTTTTTTCAAATTTGTTCATCTAAATATTTTGTCTACAATAGTTATTTTTTATATAAAATGTAGGTATTCATTCTTAATTAAACTTTTTGATTTAAATTTTTTGGATCTTTCTTGTTTTCAGACTAAATAGGTAGGTAATCTTCGGCTTTGTTCCAAAATAAGAAGTTTGTAAACTTTTAGTAGGTAATTTAGTTACTAAAATTGTTTTATTAAAGTTAATGTACGTGTGTACTACACACTGTGTAGGTATCAAATTTCTTGCAGGTGCCTTCATAAAATAAGTTTTAAACTGTTCATTGTTTATTAAATATCAATATAAAATTGCATGTGTAAAAGCCCTTTTAAAATAACCTAAACAGTAAAGGAAACATTAATACCTATATGCTTATAAAGAAATAGTGTCTGTTTAAATAACACCCATGGAAAATTTCAAAGTACCTACTTTGGTTACATTATCGATATGGAACTTTCTAAAAAGGTCATTATTATCCAAAAGGAATCCGTTGCGTACTATTATTCACAAACAAATTAGAAGTTCTTGTAATCGGCTGAATTTTCGTTAAATATTAACAAAATAGCGAATAAAGAAACCACGTGGTTAGACTCACCGGAGTCGAATAAGGTTGACAGCCCAACCGGATCCCATCGTGCTTGAGCTTTTGTCTGAGCAAAATTTTTAATTGTATTCTTGGTATTTTAACGAGTTCAGCTTTGCCTTCCTCGTACTCGTCCAAGTATTTCACGACGTTATCCGGCGCGTTGTCAATGGAGGATGCGACTACGACTCCTGAAGACGGGCTCGGTGTGGCTTCTTTTTCTAGTCCGTTAGCAGAAGAACAAGTGCACTTCACTTGACCGCACAAACATTCTTGCAGAACCGCTACACTTTCCTCGAGGGTGAAATAGACGGATGCGGCCCCTTCTTCGCGTAATGATCTTACCGACTGCAAAAGTCTTACGCGGTGCACGGGATTGATTACTCCTATTGCATCCAAGTCGGGATCACCAACCTGCTTGCAGATCTCGAGATCGTCGTATCCGTTGTCCACAAAACTTTCCGCATATTGGCTCAGTTGCAGGGATCGTAACCATTCGGCTACGATGTTGCTGGCCATTTTATAACAATACAACACACGGCTCTACGGACATCACGGTACACTAAATGAAACATTCACGGTCTGAAATTATGTTTGTTGTACAGCCAAACAGAGTGCGCGACATTCCAATCGCGCATGCCGGAGATAGCCGAACAAGCACGAACCCCTTAAAATGCGTTTTGCGGCAGATGAGAAATTACATGGGATTTTTATACAAGCCTACTTTTTGTCCTACACGATTGATTTCGAAATTCGAATAGATACTAAGTAAGTCTTAACTACGGTTTCGCGAAAGGATCGAACTGTCGATTTGCAACCGTTCAAGAAATCGATTAAAACTTTTTTACCTTACTTCTCCATATAATTGGAGTAGGTACTTTTTTCAAAAAAAAATCTTATCTATTGATAACTTTGTTTTTTTCTCTTCAGTGTGTTAATAATGAAGAAATTGTATTTTTTTAATAACTTTTTTATTTCAAAACGTACCTATCGATTAGAAATTTGGACAAAATGTAGATCTTACTAATGACAAAAAAATGTTGTACAGGGGGAGGCTGGTGATAATTTAATTTAAAATTTAACAATTTTTAATGAGTAAATATTCGAAGAAGAAACTTTTTTTTTTAAATTTGAGTATAACACGTTGAAGTATTGATATTTGATTATTATTTGATATTTTATGCAAATGATGTTTCTGTGGCCAGGATCAGTTTTGAATAATGCTTTCTGTTTTAACTGAAATGTCTTTAACTTTGTTATTTAAAACAGGATACCTCATATATTTCCAATTTTTGAATTCTACATAAAATTCTGGTAAAATGGCCATATCCTAAAGGTACCTAAAGTCAATATTTTTCGAGTTATTAATTTTTCAATTAAATATTTTAATTAATTTTAAACAATGACAGATTAAGTGGTAACCATGGATACTGTCACTATGGCACGCCGTTTTAGCATTTATTAGATAAAAGTTTAAAGATTAAAGTTTAGCACTTAAATTTATAAAGTTATAACTTTATAAATTTAAGTGCTAAACTTTAATCTTTAAACTTTTATCTAATAAATGCTAAAACGGCGTGCCATAGTGACAGTATCCATGGTTACCACTTAATCTGTCATTGTTTAAAATTAATTAAAATATTTAATTGAAAAATTAATAACTCGAAAAATATTGACTTTAGGTACCTTTAGGATATGGCCATTTTACCAGAATTTTATGTAGAATTATATATATTTTTTTAAACTCAAAACAATTTATAGTCAAAAAATATTTGAAATATAAAAACAGTAAAAATTTATGTTTAAAAATATTGATTTTTAAAAGTTTTGGTTGTAATATTTTATTCTATAAAATTATTGGTTAAAATTTTTAAAGAGTCATTTAAATGATAGTTGATAAATTTTTAATACAAAAATTCTCACATTACATTAAATGTAAGTTTTTAATTTTAAAGTAGTAATTTTTGGATTAAAAATGTATCGACTATCATTTAAATGACTCCTTAGAAATTTAAACCAAAATTTTTATTTTTAACAATTTTAAAGTTTATATTTTTAAGACAAAATTTATAACTTTATATTTAAATGTAAGTCGATCATTTTTAAATTAAAAAGTGTAAAATAAGCTTTAGTAGAAGGCACAAGAGTCTGGGATCGGAGCCACCATGCAGCCAGTTTGATCCGCTGATGTTTTTTAATTGTCGAATTAACTTAGTACAATAGGCACTAAAAATGTTGTTGTTCTATTATTAAATTTATGTAATAAAGAAATATTTCATTACGATAATTTGTAAAACGCGTCAAATATTTATGGAGCAAGCACGATTTGGCAATACTGCGGATCAAAGTGGCTGCATCGTGGCTCCGATCCCAGAGTCTGGGACCCAGACTCTTGTGCTAGCTACGTTTACACTTGATATGATAGTCGATAAATTTTTAATGCAAAAATTACCACTTTAAAATTTAAAAGTAACATTTAAATGTAATGTTCAAATTTTTGTATTGAAAATTTAACCATGGTGCACCATCATTTAAATGACTCTTTACAAATTCAAACCAATAATTCCCTGGCGAAAATAAAGCGTGCATGAAAAGTGTGCAATAAGTGTGTATTTGGAGTGCAAGTCTTTATAACAATGTGAATACACGCTACTTTGTGGTAATTTCACATTTTTTGAAATAATGAAGTATTTTCACTCTTTATGTATACTGACATCACGCTTTTTATTTGTCATATGTCACGCTTATATTACATTATATTTTAGCACATTGTTTGCACAGTGTTATAACATGTTTAAAGACATTTTGCAAAGCAAAGCTTCAGTCTATCTTACGCATGTCACATTTTATACACACTGTTAGCACGCTTTAATATTTCTTATTTATGACGCTTATATTACACCTTTTTATAGCACATTGTTTGTACAGTTTTAGCGATCACTCAACAGTTTAAGCACATTTTAGATATATCTCGCTTGAGTTGGGGTACAAGTAGTGAAGGGACTATTCGAATACAAATAATCGAAGTATTCGATTCTCGCGTGCATTCGAATGCATTCGATTCTCAACAAAGTATTCGCATGGAGAATCGGCTTGCATCGAGCCGCTCGATTCAATCAAGTATTGGAGGAACCAGAGACGACAATCCTAATAAACTATTCGCCATTCATAGTTGATTTTGATTTTATTTAATAAATTTATATCGTCGAACGCGACAATATTGCATTATATGTTGTATGTATTAAAAGAAGTATTATTAATATTAATTTAATTAACTATACAAGTATAAAGTTTAAAGTACTTATATATTTTTTGGATCGTTTTTTATTAAAAACAAATAGAGATGGGAATCGGAAAGTTTCCATTTTAAGGAAACTTTCCGTTTTGGAAAGTTTCCAATTGGGAATTTATTTTCATTTTGAAAGTTTCTTTTAAGCTACCGGAAACATTCCTTGGAAACATTCCTTGGAAACTTTCCTTGTTTTTTTCATTTAAATGTCAATTGTTTAACCGCTGATTTTCGTTACTCGTTAAATTTTGAATAAGAATTTAATGTGTGTTAATTTAAAGCAGAAGAAGAAGTATAAATAATGTAAGTTATGTTACATAACCTCAATGAAGCAGGATTATTCAGCATCATCACAAAAAACTTTTTTAAAAAAAAAGGTAAACAAAATAAAAACAATAAACAAAGTTAAAATCATTTTTACATTTTTTTTGCTAATTTATAGGCATAGCACAATGCCAAGAGAAAAATCTAGTGTTTGGAATTATTACAAAATAGTGCAAAAAACAAAAATTTTATCAGTCAGAACTGCAATACTAGATATTTTTACTATCTTTTACTTTTCAATATTCCTATATATTAGTTACTTTGTCCATTTTAATTTTTTTACGTAATATCTAGGATTTACTAGCAGTGAATTTCTAATACATTTTTTTTTGTAGGTTTCATTGTACAATAGGAATATTCCAAAGTAGAAGATACTAAAAATAGTATTGCAGTTACATTCTTATAAACATTTTTTTTATTTTTTTTCTTAATAAAATTTGACAAAAAGTTAATGTGTTATATATTTTTGCAAATCCCTGGCATAAAAAAAAAATATTTTCGCAATAAAATTTTTTTTTTTGAAACTTTCGGAAAATTTCGGGAATTTTCGATGGAAAGTTTCCGGGAATTTTCGTCAAATGGGAATTTTCCCATCTCTAAAAACAAATTCATGGACATGGACTAGGTAAAAATAAAGTAATTTTACATACTATATACAATAATTTATATACATGCTAGTAGCATGATAGGTCAAATCACTATTAATAAATAATAAAATAAAAACACATATGCTATACCTACTCTAGAAATATATTTATGTTATCCCTCTGATGGTTAACAAAATAATAAAAAGTAAATCATGCTTAACCAGTAACTAAAAAAATATATAAAAAGTAACTGAAAAATATATAAAAAAACAGGTAACAAACTAAGTAACTAATAATTATTCTACAAAACGCTTTTTGAAATTAAAAATAATGTAGTTTATGTTTTATGTCAAAAATAAAGAAAGCACGTCATAAATCAATTAGTAGGTATATCAGCCGGTTTAGAATTTATATTGCACCCAGTGCGAAGCCAACCCGCTCAGCCCATAACGAATTGTAAACAAGAAATAAAATGACCATTAGAATACTTGTTCCGAATTTGTTCCGAAAACATTAATTCAATAAATGTTTTCGGCTATTATCGGTTTCGATTCGGAACAAACTATTCGATTCTCTGCATTCAAATCATCATTCGATTCTTTAGAGTACCTATTCGAATGCAAAGTATTCTATTCTAAAAATTATTCGATTCTCCCTTCACTGGGTACAACATTTATTTAAAAGGTGAGGTAGATTCCATCTTATGTATCGCTTCTCAGCCTATTGCTAAGATCGAAGCAATCCCCTTCGTGGAGTTGACAGTGCAGGTATTTTTCTTAATAAAATACAGTATGTAGGACCTACATTGTGGGTATTTTTTTTTTTAAATATTTAATTGATTAATATTATTATAAGGACATTTATATTTCAATTATGTGTAAATTTAAAAGAATTTGAAAAATCAAAAGAAGAACATTGTCCAGTGATTATTTACACTTTTAAATTTTTGGTTTTGCACATTGTTTTATGTTCCATTTCCCACCCTCCGCACATCATTTTTTGAAAACAAAACAAGTCTATTTTTATTTGTTTTTCAGAAATGATTTTTTTTAATTAAAAAATTGATGCTTTTTTGGAAATTTTTTATTTGGGGTATAAAACTTTATAAAGATAAATGCAAATGACAGTTAAATGGCGGAAATACATGCGCGACAGCGCAAATACAAGCGCGATAGCGCAATGATCGCGCGCGAGCCCGAATACACAGATTATTGTCTGTTATTTTTTAATTTAAATTTAATATTGTTGGCATATTGTTCTCAAATAATTTTGCACACTTTTTGCACAATTCATTTTCGCCAGGGTTTTGAAGAATAAAATATTAAAATTCCATTTTTTTAAATTAATATTTTTATACTTAAACTTTTACAGTTGCATTTTATTT